AATATTTCTTTAAAAGCTCTACAAAGACAGTATTTAGGGGGTGAGGGAGCGATATGGTTCCGACCTCATCCCTTTGTGGGTTGTGCAAATTTTTATAAATATTCGCTGCCCTGTAGTTGGTTTGGAAAACACTATGTATACGTTTTCCCGCCTTTCTATCGATTTTTTTTAAACCACGGGGTGAACGAGATGCCCATGCACTTGTCATGTAGCCTCAGGGTCTCAATTCTGAAGTACTTACATATCAAATCTATTCAAATCGCACACATTTCAATTACAAATAATAGGACTGACAAATGGAATGGTGGCCTGCTACCGTGAATGGCAACCCATTTTGAAGTTCGACTGGAAATCTTGCAATGCCTTGCTTGATGGTAACATTATGAGTCAGATATCGTGTTTGTGCTGGTCAATAAAGTACTCCCAGAAAAAGAAGCAATATTCTTTTGTTCTCTGGGTAGAATTTAATTGTGTGGAACAATTTAAACTTCTTTAAGTCCCTCTCGTCTTTGGACACAAAATGTGTACAACCATCTCTAATCTTAATTCTGAAGAATGTGTAATTTTTTCGGCTTTCATTTTTAGCAGTGTAGCGCAAATATTTAGAGTGGAAGACGGCAATCGTCATGCACGCCATTTTGTGTTTGGCGGCGAGATGAGATTTATGTATGACTCTTATTTCTCCCTCCGGGGAGATATACTTGTGATGCATCCATCTTCAAAATTTTATTACTATAAGATTATTGTAATTAAGTAGCTGTTGAAGGGGAACTTCCGCCATGACCGCAAATCGCTTCGAAAACTACTAAGACATAGTCATTTTTATTCTATTCCAACTTCTATTCTAACTTCTCTAGCGTAGCTGAGATAGTTGACGAGGAGGAGTCGCTAGAGACTGATCAGAGCGTGATTGGTTTACAAAATAATGATAAACTTGCCACACTTAATGAAAATACGAAGTTCCCCTTACCTAATTGTAACGGAATAAGCTTTGAACGGAACGGCATTTGACTGATTGTGAGTAGACATACTGAATTAATAATGTATATTTCTAAGCATTCCCATGTAATTGGTTGTGTCATCTTGAGGTTGTCAGTTATGGTTCTCATTTCTAGCCAAAAGATTCATAAATGCTTTGAAAGTTTTGGCTGTGATAACTAATCAGCTTTGTTGCCAATGTAGTACGTAAAGTCCACTTTGTGAATGTAAATTAATTTATGCAGTGATGTTCGTTGTAAGATCCGATAGTTTCGCCCTGTGTGCTGATGGCATCACATCCAGCGTCTCACGTTGCGAGTTTTCCAGCACTTGATTCAGGAGGAACTCATCAACGCGTCTTTTTAACTACTGTAGTGTTTTGGTCAACTGTTTGATACCAAAGAAATAAAAATTAAAAATCAACCATTTATCGCTCAAACCGGCTACTTTATTCCCCCTCCTCTTTTCAGTGCCGAGCTGTGCGATGCGCAGCAGCCTCGGAGCGGTGCGTTTTGCCTGCGCTGCTCATGACACTCGAGTCCAGTCAACCGGACAAGGCCCTGGCCCAAGGCCCTGGCCGCCTGACAGGCCCTGACACACAACGACGCGTCCCTGGACGGAATTCGCATTTTCTGCACGCTGTTTCGTTTTTCTCTCCGCCTTCGAACGGCGCTGGTGTGAACACCGGGCAGTTTGCCCATAAAGTGGGAGACACAACCGGTTGCACGACGGGGCTGTCTGTCGAGCAGACGACACCCTGCCCAAATTTACTGTGGATGCTGCGACAGCGTGCGGCAGGGGGCACTCACTCCGACTCATCCGACTGATCATTCGACTCACTCGGTCCGGCCCGAAAATCGCCGCCGGCCGCCCGACTAAAATGTCTTTAGCGGGAGCGGGAAGGAAAAAATAAAATAGGCCGGCCAAATTGTGGCATAGATCCGGTCAGGTTTGTCCTGTTCCAATCCAGCCGGCCGGCACCGGCAGGCCGGCAGGCGGCCGATTTGACGCGCCAGAGCGGCAGAGCGGTGCCGGCCGGGCGTCCGTCCGGCCATCGGCCCGGCTCTTGGAGGCTAGAGACCTAGAGCCTCTAGGTCTCTCTTGGAGGCTTCTGCACTAGACCAACCGAACCTAACCTAACCTCACATCAAAGTAACCTAACCAAGCCTTCATCCATGCGCCTATCCTTGTGCAGCCATGAAACTGCGTCAGCACGGTTGCGAAAACAAGTCCGTTTGAGTCGTCGGCTTGGGTTGCCTATGACCCGGCACGGCCCCGGGCGCCGCGGAAATTGGAAATCTGACTCGACGGGACGAAAACGTCGGGGAAAGCATCAAAACATTGTTGGGTGATTGTTGACGCCGGCGGCGCTGGAGGCACCGCCTGCAGTGCGGGGCCTGGAGGGGCACGCGGCCGCACGCGGCGCGCGGTGGAGGGGCGGCCTGTATAAAGGGGCCGGGAGATAACGCCGGCCCCAGTCTGGAATCTGCCGCCGGACCGGCGACACGCAGACACGCAGCGGTGAGTCTCTGAGGGCCTCACAACCCGCACTGTCCACTTACAGTCAAGGGTGGCTTCGGCATCTTGGGGTCATTTCGACTGGCAGTAAAACGCAACTGTTTACCTCCATATTGATCATTCTCACCGGTCCTAAGGGCACCTCGATCTCCGTCTCCGTATTTTATACAGCAATCCTAACTAAAGCGAACCAAATTGTCGCTCCAAACGGTCCTTTCATGACAGTGTCGAAGTCACCCCATTTGACGGTAGCAATGTCGAAGTCACCCCATTTGACGGTAGCGATGGCGTCGTTGCTCCCTCGCGGCGGTCATCGTTTCCCCGGCCGGCGCGCGCGCCGTGCCGCTCGTTTACCATATGACACTCACGTCGTCGTCGGACAGTCGGACGAACGAAAGATAAACTTGCCGCCGCCCGGAGTCCCTCCGTCTTCGGTGTCTGTTGGCACGAGTCGCGACGGGGTCGTCACAAGGTCCCTGCACCTTCCAGTCTTCAGAGGATGCGGACTGCGATCTGCAGACTGATTCCGAGAGTCGTTTTCGTCGCTCTGTCTCTCTCGCACTCGCGGGGCGTCCCGTATGGGTGCGAGAGAGACAGAGCGACGAAAGCGACTCTCGGAATCAGTCTGCTGCGGAGTGGGGCTGCGCCGGGCCGCGCATGCGAATGTCCTCGTCCTGCTTGGCACGCCGTTCACGGCGTCCACGGCATCCGCGCCGTGCAGCATCGATCTGCTAACGGCCATTCATTTTAGCAGTGCGGGCCCGGCCCTACCTGGGTCTCTAGGTAGACCCGGGCCCAGGTGCGCTACCACCTCGTGTGCTCTCCGCCCCGCCGTTTGGCCGTTTGGCCGTTTGGCCGCGTTCCGCGCAAACTCATTCCCAGCCTAATGGGCGTCCGGACCGGCGGCCAACGGCTTCGCCAGGAGGGCGGCCAGCAGGCTGCTTGCAACGCGCACTGTCTCTCTCGCACTCATCGCGGCGTCGCATCCCGACAGAGACAGCTCTGTTCGGAATCGGGCTAGCCAGCCACGGCCAGCCACGGCCACGACGCCGAGGCCAAGGCTGCCCGGGCTGCCCATACGATTTGCAAGCAAGCTGACGAGCGCTGTCCTCCCCGCCGGCGTGGCTGGCCTTGAAGCAGTCTGGAGGGTGCCACCCGGGGGGCCGCAGAGACATGTTTTCGGCGCGCAGCGGTTTGGAGGGTGGGGTATTGGGGAACCGCACTGTGTCTGCGGTGTATTCGAGTTTGCCGTGCTGCAGAACGCCATACGCCACGTAGCACATGGTGTCTGTCTGGCTGCCCCTCGGGTCGGGCGGCTCGGGTGGCTTCGACTAGCAATAGTTTATCTGCAGCAATAGCAGTGATGGCGCTGGCAGGTGGCGCTAAGCCCCCGGATTGCACCCCCGGCTGGCTGACTGGCTGGCCGTCACTCGATCTGGCAAACACCGCCAGCAAGCCGATCCGGCGCACGGGGCGGGGCGGGGCGCGGCGGGGCGGGGCGCGGCGGGGCGCGGACGTCATCCAGACAATCCACGGTCCACCTTTTTGTCTCGTCTCTTATCGAACCCGCTCGTTTTATTCTGAATGCTGCACCGCGCACGTGCTCCGCGACCGACCAGTGCTCTCGTCGCTCCGTCTCCGTTGCACTCGCGGAGCGTCCCGCCTGCGGGGCGGCGAGAGAGACAGAGCGATGAGGCGCGGTTTGGAATCAGCCTGACACTGGCAAAGTTCGCAGCAGAGGGTTTCTCTTCGTTTTGGTTGACCGCGGCGCCGGCAAAGGGCGTGGGTTGTGCTGCCGGACGGACTTCATGGACTTCCCCTCCCTAACGCCCCGCCCCGCCCCGCCCCGCCCCGCCCCGCCCCACCCCGACCCCGCGGTCACGTCCTGTTGCACATGGGTGACCGCGTGGGTGACGGTGACGAGGTGACCCCGCGGGTCAAGGCTGCCCAAAACCGAGAAGATGGACTTTCCTCGCGAGGGCGGCCACCGCGCGGCGTGGCGTGGCGCGCTGGGGTGACCGCTCGCCCGCGGAAGACGAGCAGGGCGACGCGGAGCGCCTGGGGCTGTGTCACAACACTGCAACCCGCGACGCGCAAAAAAGTGCCCCGCGACGGCCAATTCGCTTGCCGCTTTTCGAATTTGGCGCGGCGGTGACGTCATGCGTGCGCCGCGTGGTGCGGAAAGCGCGGAAAGCGCGGAAGGGGGACGGCATGGTGATAAGGGTGATTGTTGGCGGCAGCGCCAGTCAGGCCCAGCAGAGTGAGTTCGCGCAGTGTGGCCGTCCGTCTATCTCCCTCGCACCTGCGCGGGACGCCCCATGAGTGCGAGAGAGAGAGAGAGTGGCCACCCTCGCGAAATCAGTGTGCTTGGCACAGCCCCGGCGGCAAGGAAGGCCTCCTAGACGCGTCACTTCGCCGCCACGCGGGTCGGGCCTCGCCCGGTCAGGAGGTCAGTGGCAGTCGCCTTATCAAACCGCGGCCCGAATCTGCCGTCTGCGTCTGCCCGCGCGGCCCGCGCCAGCCCGTAGTGTAGTGTGTCGGCCGCCGCCGGAGTTTGGAGGCTGCGTGTGCCTGCCAGAGTGCCCCCCGGCTGCTGTGCCGCCTCGTCTGAGGGTCTCGTCTCCCACCGCTGTCAGACAGTCCGCAGCTCGCCCAGCCTGAGGTCTGGTACGACGCGGAGGTGGGACGGGTCCCTTCTTCACTCGTCCTGTCTCTTGCCTCCGGTTCATGGTTCTGTTCCCCGCGCAGGTCATGAGGTTCGCAATCCTGGCGCTGGCCGTGGCGGCCCAGTGCGCCTGGGCCTTCCCCCAGTCGAACGGCGCCCCCGCCGCCGAGGCCTCCAACAAGTACAGCGAGGCCGAGGGCAAGGAGTACCTCGCCAAGCTGAACCAGGAGCTGCTGCGCTACTCCAACATGGCCGCCATCGCCGAGTGGGCGTACGCGTCCAACATCACGGAGGAGAACCTGCAGAACAAGGTGAGCACGCGGAGGGGGCGGTTCCAAGCTGCCCGATGTCGCACGGATTCATCCAAGTGGAAAGTTGTTCTCCTCCCCAGGCGAATTTGTCGTACTCTGCGGATAGCACGGCTGTGGCCCTTTATCTAGAGACCAGCAGGATCAGACACGCCCGAGAACATTTAGTGAGACCTTTTGATTAGCTTCCCCACCCTCTTCCGCATTGCAGGCTTTTATTTTTCGTACAAGGGGCAGCGGGGAAACAGTTCCGAGATCGAGTCTCACTCTTAAAAGTATCAAGTTCTTCCCCCGCCCTTCCCCACTGCCCCTAAAACGTATCGCAGTGTGCAGAGCATGAATGGATTCGCAGCTTAGCAGTGTTCGTCCGCGGGAGCTCTTCGTCCATGTCCATTCCGTTCGTTCCGTGGTCGAGAAGTCGCTAACGCCTGGCGCTTCGCCGCCCTCCCTTTCCAGCTGAAGGTGGCCGCGGAGACCGCGCGCTTCCAGAAGGAGGCGTGGAAGGAGACCATCAAGTACCCGTGGAAGGAGTACAAGGACCCCGTCGTGAAGCGCCAGTTCAAGAAGCTCTCCGTGCTGGGCTCTGCCGTCCTCCCCGAGGACAAGTACGAGAAGGTGAGCGAGAACCCTAACGGAGTCGCAGTGCTTCATTTGAAAACAATCCTTAATACTTTTGTGTGTGTCCCCACGCTTCAGCTCGACAAGATCGTCAGCGAGATGCAGAACGTGTACAGCGTGGCCAAAATCTGCGACTTCAACAACAAGGAGAAGTGTGACCTGAACCTCGAGCCTGGTAAGCGATCGCCAAGTTTTTCCTAAACAAAGTTCGTTCCGGGTGTTGCGCAACGGTGGCGCCGTGAGGGCTGCGAGACGTCAACACGCCGAGGGCGCCGAAGGCAATTTGAGGCTCAGGAAGGGCACGGCGCGCATCGGCGAGGCCAACCGCCACAGGCACCGCCACAGGCACCGCCACAGGCACCGCCATGGGGGTTGAAACCGAGCCGTCGCGCGCAGCGCCCGGTGCAGCCCCCCGGGGGAGGTACGGTGGCGGCTCCAATTTTCCAATCGGCATCGATGTCAAATACACGTAATGCTCCTGCAGTGCCGGCGGGCCTAGCCAGCCAGGCCTGGTGACGCAGAATGACGTAAATACGGAATCGGAAAATGAACCCGATCCGGGTGCGCGGCGGCGTGGCGTGGCGTGGCGTGGCGGGGCGGGGCGCCAGGGATCGGGTGTTGTGCCGGGGTGGGCAGAGGGGGCAGAGGGTGGCAGGTCTGTTTGCGGTGGGCCCGGTGGGCCGGGCGGGCCGCCGAGTGGAGAGCCTTCCAATAAAGTGGCCGGCCTCTCCTCTCCTCTCCCGCTGCAGTAATGAACGGTGGGAGCGACACCACCTGCCCACGCACGCTCACCGCCAGCACACTGCGAGTGAGGCTCGGCGTGGCGCCCCGTTCTCCACTCGACGCAGCTTCCCAGTCCCAGGCCCTCGCCGCTAATGCATGCCTTTCTTCGCAGAGCTGACGCTGCTCATGGCCAAGAGCAGGAACCCCGAGGAGCTCAAGCACATGTGGGTGCAGTTCCGCCAGCAGGCCGGCGACAAGGTGCGCAAGGAGTTCACGGAGTACGTCGCCCTGACCAACGAGGCCGCCAAGCTCAACAGTGAGTCCGACCGCTGGTATTTCCGAAACTAACCGTCACCTGCTTTGGGTTTTTAACTTCCGCCCCGCTGCTTGCAGACTTCTCGGACGCGTCGGAGGAGTGGCTGAAGGACTACGAGACGGAGGACTTCCGCGACCAGATCCAGGCGCTGTGGCTGCAGCTCAAGCCCCTGTACGAGCAGATCCACGCCTACGTCCGCCGCCGCCTCAACGAGAAGTACGGCGACAGCGTGGTCAGCAAGGACGGCCTCATTCCCGCGCACCTCCTGGGTAAGGTGCACTGTTCGACGGGCTGCCCCATTCCAGTGTCCCACCGGGCCGAGGTTTGAACCACGTGCTTCTGTTTTGCAGGCAACATGTGGTCTCAGAATTGGGGCAACATCTACGAAATCACCACCCCGTACCCAGGCAAAGTTGCCTCTGACGCCACCCCTTACATGGTGGAGAAGGTGGGCATAGTTATGAAATTCTGTTGCCGTTGCCTCGTCCATGGGGTTCTGCTGTTGAGTTCGCTTTTGAATGTTTTTCTTGCTCGCTTTGGCAGGGCTACGACGCGCACAAGATGTTCAAGCTCTCCGAGGAGTTCTTCACCTCTCTCAACCTGACCGCCATGCCGGACACCTTCTGGAAGAACTCCATCCTGGAGAAGCCCGTCGGCCGCAACCTGGTGTGCCACGCCTCCGCCTGGGACTTCTACGACGGCAAGGACTTCAGGTACGGCGCCAAGCGCCCAATTCATGCCGTCGTGCATCCGTCGGGAGTTGAACCCAAGGCACTAGAACGAGAGACAGCATCTCGACTGACAAAGCCGAAGCAAAGTAGCGTAGCTGTGTGGCGCTAACGAAGTAGTTTTTCAGGATAAAGCAGTGCTCGCGCATCAACATGGAGAACCTGCTGGTGGCGCACCACGAGATGGGCCACATCCAGTACTTCCTGCAGTACAAGGACCAGCCCGGCAACTTCCGCGAGGGCGCCAACCCAGGTGAGCCGAGTCGAACGCGCTCAACGAGACCCCTCTGTTCTGTGCCTCCAGGATCAAGCAGTGTACGCGCATCACCCACCGCGACCTGGTGACCGCGCACCACGAGATGGGCCACGTGCAGTACTACCTGCAGTACAAGCACCTGCCCAAGGTGCACCGGAGAGGCGCCAACTCAGGTCGGGGACTGCTGTCCGCTACTAGACGTTGTCCTAGACGTTGCCCTAGACGTTGTCCTAGAAGTTTCCCTTGACGTTGTCCTAGACGCTGTGCTAAACGTTGTCCTAGACGTTGTCCTAGACGTTGCCCTAGACGTTGCCCTACATGTTGTCCTAGACTGCTGCTCCGCCAAGCTGCCAAGCCTGCCGCGTAGAGCTAAGCCGAGCCCCGTGTCGTCCCTTCTGCCTCTAGCTGGCCGCTTGTCGGCACGGCGGCAACAAGTGTCTCTTCTCCTCCACCTCCTCGAGGTCCTGCTGGCCCTGCCCGCCTCGCGTAGCGCGGCTTTGGCTTCCCTCACACACCCGCAGAGCAGCGCTGGCCGATGGGTGGCCTACACCCGTCGGCCCCTGCGCTTGGCTTGTGTTGTGCGACGTTGTCGTCGTTCCAGCTTTGTGTTGTTGCTTCCTTGCGGTGACCAGCCTCAGCCTGACGTAGTAACGCCCTTCCAGGCTTCCACGAGGCCGTGGGGGACACCATCGCGCTGTCCGTGTCCACCCCGAAGCACCTCCGCAGGGTGGGGCTGCTGCCCGCCGACTCCAAGGACGACCCGGAGAGCCAGCTCAACTACCTGTACAACATGGGCCTGGAGAAGATCGCCTTCCTGCCGTTCGGCTACCTCATGGACCTGTGGCGCTGGGACGTCTTCAAGGGCAAGACCACGCCCGAGAACTACAACTGCGAGTGGTGGAAGCTCAGGTCAGAAGGCAGTTGGGTGGCCTACCCGGCTGGGCGCCTGGGCGCTGCCGTGGCCCTGTGGCTGGGCTCTGCGTTGTGGAGGGGAGGCGAACGTGCTAAGCGTGTTACTCTTTCACTTTTGCAGGCAACAGTACCAGGGTATCGAGCCGCCCGTCGACCGCTCCGAGGCCAACTTCGACCCCGGCTCCAAGTACCACATCATCGCCAGCGTGCCTTACATCAGGTGGGTCTTGCCTCGTGGTCGTGACAGTCTTCCCGGGAAAAGGAGGGCAAAACTAATGTTTGTGCTTCGCGCTTCGCAGGTACTTCGTGAGCTTCGTCGTGCAGTTCCAGTTCCACCGCGCGCTCTGCGAGAAGGCCGGCCAGTTTGACCCCAAGGACCCCGACCGCCTGCCCCTGCACGAGTGCGACATTTACCAGAGCAAGGAGGCCGGCAACCTGTTCGGGTAGGAGGAAGAGAAAGAGGCGGCACCCACCTCGCAGCCCCGCCCCGGCGCCCCGCCCGGGGCTCGAACCCCAGCAGATGTCATTACCCTGTCTTGCGTTTCCAGGAGCATGCTCTCGATGGGGTCCTCCAGGCCGTGGCCCGACGCGATGGAGGTCATGACCGGCCAGCGCAAGATGGACGCCACCGGACTGATGGAGTACTTCCGGCCGCTGCTCAAGTGGCTCGAGGCGGAGAACAAGAAGACCGGCGAGAAGATCGGGTGGACGCCGTCCGACGCGCGCCATGGTGGGTTTGGGTGCCGTCGACCTCAGCCTTCGATTCTGTCGCGACGCTTCTGACTGACCCTCCCATTTTGATTTCAGTCTGCAAAAGCGGCAAGTCCGAGGTGAAGGCCGCCCCCGCTGCCGCCCCTGCGGCCGCCCCCGCTGCAGCCCCCGCCCCCGCCGCCCCCGCTGCCACCAAAGCCTCCCCTGCGGACCGCTGACAAAACGCCCGGCGGCTGCCACCCAACCCGTACGCGCTATGCGCGCCGCCGAAGGACGAACCGAAAAGATCCTCGCTCGCGCCACTGCCCATCGGGCCGTGGGACACGTACTGGAGGAGGCAGTGCGAGGAGTGGGTCGCGAGGATGCTGGAGGAGCGGGACAGGGAGGCTGCCGCCGAGAAGCGTAGGCAGCAGAGGCTGATGGCCTGGCCCATCGACGACGACCCCGACGCCCCGGACTGCCTCGACGAGGCCGACCCCGTCCCGGCCCCGGAGTGACGGAGCGCGTCGCGAGGGACTTGTGCTGTGGCAGCACGCCGCCAGGGCCCCGCCAGGGCCCTGCCCCACCACTGGGAGGGCGGGCAGGGCACAACTCTCTGACTTATCACGAACGACTACGTCGATGTTAATTTATTGTCACTCTTAGCATGACCGACTAAGGAAGATTTTATCTACGTATCGACTTTATGTTTTGCAGCAGTATTTCTCGTAGTCTTAGTAGACTGACTTTCCTAATAAATGCTAACTTTACACACAACGGGTCTCCTCTTTATTCCACTCGTCCCTCCTACACCGTGCTCCAGACGGTTCCCGTGTTCGCGTCGTTCGCCAGTCCACCCGGGTGCGTGGGGCCGAAAGGGACTGCTGCAAGGGCCTTCAAAGAACGCAGAAAGGGACGTTCACAAATTTTCATTTCGAGGTTATTTGGTTTATTTCAAAATGAAAAATAAATAGAATTTTTTCTAAATACAAAAATCATCACAGAAGTAAAAAGGTATCACTTTGTTCCGAATTACAAACGCATTTGTATACATTTTATTTTCAATGCTTTATTAAGGATATAGTTCATAACGGATCGATAAATAGTGCATAACATGAAACGGATCGAATACAGAACTTACTCTACCGGACCAAACTTAATTTTACTAAATACATCTAAGGCCTTTGACAACACTGTACCCTAAATGAAATATCCAGAATGAATAAAAAAAAGTAAATCCAAAGAAAGTACTTTTTTTACTGCCCTTCCCTAAAACGCAGAAAATCACATTTCCTAAATGGTTTTCCGTTAAAAAAAAAAAAAAACCACACACACTTAAAATAGTATTTTGAACCTGTCCCATTCGCGCCGCGGCCAGTGGCGGCCTCAGCCTCGGCGCCGAGTTGTTCGAGGACGCGGAGAGTCAGTCCTTGGCCGCCGTGCCTCACGCCGCCGCCGTCGCTGCGCTGGACGTGGACGCCGGGAGCGTGGTGCTGGCCGCGGTGCTGGCCGCGGCCGTCGTGGCGGTCACGCCGACGGGCGCCTCGGTGCTCGGTGCGGCGGCAGACGCCGCCGCCGTGGCCGCGGTGGGCGCTGCGGTGGTGGGCGCGGCGCTGGTCGTCGGGAGGGTGGTTGGCGCCAGGGTCGTCTCTTCTTCCTCCGAGAACTCGCCCAGCGGGCACGAGTAGTAGCCCGCCTCGCCGCCCTTGGCGTCCATCTGGATGAGGCGGCGCCGGGACAGTCCGCACTCTGCCAACAGCGAGCACAGTCAGCCCCTGCCCGTCAGGCGCCACTTCGTAGTCGTTCGCGAATCGCGGCACGCTTTCTCGCTCACCTTTTTGACTCTGCCCCCAGCCTACCACCTCGCCCGTGCGCACGTTGTGGTCCTCCAGGAACTTCTGCAGGGGCTGGAAGTAGGTGACCATGGCGCTCGCGTCCAGGTCCTTGGTGCCGATCGTCTGTTCCAGGATCTCCTGCCACGGCTTGGAGGAGCCGACCTGCATCATCTTCCTGCAACAGCAGAACGTCGCCGTTACCCCGCTGCCCAGTCGCGGGGGCGCGATGCTGCCGCCGCGGCCGAGGATCGCACTCACTTGAGGAGGTCGCTGACGAGCGGCTGGTTGAGCAGGTTGCAGCGGTGCAAGGGCAGCCGGCTGGGGTCCTCGGCGTCGAACAGGCCCGCCACGCTGCAGAGCTGGCGGTGCATCTGGAAGGCCAGGATGGTGCCGAAGGTCGTCCTGCAAGCAGTGTGCCAACTTAGCGGCCTGCGGTCTCGCCTTTGGTTGCGTACTCTGCGAGTGGCGTACCGGAACGGCGTGGCGGCGGGGTCCATGATCATGTCGGGGTTGGCGGCGTCGAAGTCGCGCCACGACCTGTTGAGCGGCTGCTCCACGCCCTCGATCTCGTGCCTGGCAGAGGCGGGCAGAGGGGCGTTCACTTATGGCCTTCCGAACAGTGTTGCCACCCACCTTGGCAAAAGTTACCAAGGGTTGCCAACGTCAGCCTGCTGGGCTACTTCGTAGGCAGGACCTGACTGAGGTTGGCAACCCTTTCGACATTCACGGCGTGGTGCGCGCGCTCACCTCAGCTTCCACCACTTGCAGTTGTACTCCCTGGCCGAGATGGAGCGGCTGAGGGCGGCCACGCGCCACAGGTCGGCGGCGTGCATGCGCACCGCGGGCAGCAAGGTGTTCCTCGCGATCATGAAGAGCAGGTTCACGTCCATCTCCACCGAGTCGTCGCCGGCCAGCAGGCCCTGGTAGCGCAGGAAGTTGGGCGACACGAGGGACAGCGCCACCAGCCCGCCGATACCCTCGACGAACGCTGCAAAGAAGCAGCGGGTATTCGCAGGACGTTCCCGCCAAAAGGTTTGAACGAATGGCGTCGCGCTCACTCACCGTCGTTGACCGTCTGCCGGTACACGCTGGGCTGCGGCCGCATCTCCATGGCGTACACGATACCCGTGACGAGCCTGGAGGCGGTGAAGAGCGTCTGCTCGGACACCTTGCCGCACACGCGGATGCTGGAATGACGCGGACGTCCAGAAAAGAATCATCGTGCTTTTCCCACAACGCGCTGCCTGCGAACGCGGCACCGACGCCGGACTTACCGGTAGTCCTTGTTGTCGAGGAAGTCCTGCGCCACGGCGCGGCAGCTCATCGTCTTGTTGGCGCCCAGCTCCAGGATGGACTTGTCCCAGACGGCGTCGGGCACGCCCGTCATGTTGAGCGACCGGTAGAACTCGTCCGGCAGCCCGAACAGCTTCCGCACCGAAAAGTCCTGCCAAGTCCGACCAATTTCTCTCACTATCTCCTCAACTAAGTCGAGGTAATGATCGCAGCACTGGGTGAGGCGCTAACCTTGGCTCGCAGGGCGCCGGGGAAGTCCAGCGGTTTGCGAGGAACGGGGTCAGTCTGGCAGATAGGGTCATCTGAAAAACAGAATATTGAAATTGCATTTGCTGCTGTTTTTACGGTGTGGCACACGCTTCACAGTGGGCCAGAAGACCTGTGGCGAAGGCCAAAATTCTAGACGTGTTTTGAGCTCCAGAGTCGCTAAACAGGACTAGAACCGAACGTGTGACCCCACCAATGGATTCCTCTTTGGAAGAGCAATTCATTGGTGGGGTCACAGGCTCGATTCGAGTCCAATTTAGAGACTGTGAAGCTCAAAACGCTTCTAGAAGTGGAATTTTGGCCACCTCCACCTGTCCTCTGTTCCACTTACCGATGAGGTGGTCGGGGATGAGGCCCCCGTTGGGCGCCGCGTCGTTGCCGTAGCGCTGGCGCAGCCGGTTGCGGCAGTAGGCCACCATCTGCTTGTACAGGGGGTGCACGCCCTCCACCAGGGCCTTCATGCGCGCCACCAGGTCCTCCTGCTCGTAGTTCCTCAACATGTACTGCGTGAAGTCGGTGTAGTCTGGAAGCCGTCACACGCTGCCGTCAGTTCGCTGCTTTACACCATCTCCGAAGGCAAGGAGTTTCCAATTTGCATTTTGCGCTTTTTTCCCTGTTCCAGTACTCACTGTCCAGGGCCGCCGCCTGCTGCGACAGCTCCACCAGGTTGCTGAAGGTGTCCGTTGCGTTCTTGCCGTAGCGGAACTGCATCCAGCAGTGGAGGCGCTGCTTCATTTCAGCATCTGCGTCACGAATAATTCGTTTGAAGATAAAAATTAACTACATCTTTGCAAATAAAAAAATGAATTAAAAATGTCTATTGCAAACCGAACATTACCTGCGCCAAGGCCTTCTTTGTGTTCGCATTGGAAAACGCGCTGGCACCTTCGCGCAATGCCAAGCTCAGCCGCCGCATTCTGGAACTGCGGAAACCATCAAAACGCACCAAAGTATTAAAATCTGTGTTCGTCATTTCAACGGGCGAAAGAAGGCACGAAAAGCCATCCTGTGCACTGTCGCGCTTCCCCCTCCTGTCTAGCTTGCCCCTACTTACACTAACGTACTTGTCATCGGGCAAGCCGGGGGCACCCAGCTTGGAGTACATCCCTAGCTGGCGCTTGATGTCCTTGTCGGAGAACTTCTCCCGCGGGTACTTGACGGCCTCCTTGCGCTGCTGCTTTTGGAACTTGGCCACTTCGAAAGACACTTTTAACTGCAAGCAACGGAAACGGGTCGCTGAGTTTACTGCTCGTATGCCGTCGTCAAGTTTAAATACACAGGTAAATGGAGGTCATGATAAAATTTCAACTTTCAAAGTTTTTAAATTTTTAAAATTGAAAGTAGAATTGGATTGGATGGTATTGGCAATCACCACCTCCTGGCCGAGTGTCCTCTTGGAGATGTCCGTTTCGTAGTCCCACTTGGCCATGTAGTAGGTGTTGGTCTTCTTGGCCCACTCGAGGTTCAGGTTCTTGAGGAACTTCTTGGCCTCCTTCTCGGTGTAGGTCTTGACCTCAGGCGGGAAGGCGGATGCCGCGTCGGCATGCTGCAGGAAGAGGGCGACCAGCGCCACCCCCAGCAGGGCGACCACCACCTCGGAGGGCTGCATGACGTCCAACAGGGAAGAGCACACGCACACACGCCTCGCCCCGCGCCGGGGCGGCACTCGGTGGGCACGCAGGAGCACGCGGGCGGGCAGCACGGGCAGCACGGCGGTCGGCCAGTACGGCGGACGCATCGACCCGGGCGAGACTGAGGGCCGAGCCGAGTCCTCGACGGCGCCCCCGGCCGGGCCCCAGCCGCCCTGGAGGGCCGCCCTGGGAGGCCCGCCCCCGCCCGTCCCGGCCAGTCCCGGCCAGTCCCGGCCACCAAGGGCCAGCGAGGGCCGCCAAGGGGCATCGGCGCGGTCCTCGGAGAGGGGGGCTGACGGCCACCTCGAGGAAGGGCCGACGTCGTCCCGCCGCACACCGACGTCCTACCCCTGCGCACGCGTGTTGCAACAGGCGGTGCAACTTTGCGCACTGCGCACTGCGCGCGGCGCGGCGAAACACCTCGCGCGATGACCCAGGCCGTCGTCCAGGCCACCGTCCAGGCCGCGCCCGTGGACAGGCCACCACGCCGCGGGCCGCGCGCCCATCAGCACGGCAATCTGCAGCAATCAAGTCTTTAGCCTTCGCCATTTACCAATTGGTTGTCCGTCCTCTAGAGCCCCTCGCGGCCCCTCGCCGCGCCTCGCCCCTTCCGGCCCCCAGCCTGGGTCGCCGCGCACCGGCAGCGCACCGGCCGCGCCGCGCACGACGACAAGAGGGTGGAAAACGCGAAAGCCATCGCACTCCTTGGAAATGGTTCCGTTTATTGCTGTGCTCTATCTGGCCCTCTTTCGCTTGCGACTCTTTCCGATGGTCGTCCTGCTCCTTGTCCTGCTCCTGCTTCTCCTGCCCTGGCTCCTGCTCCTGCTTCTGCTCCTGCTGGGTCGCGCAGGGTATGCGGCCGTGCGGCTGGCGCTCCCGGTGCGTCGCCGTGAGGTCCTGTGACGAAAAGGTGAATTGAACAAGGTAAAATGTGGAGGCCGCGGCCGCAGTCCGCACAGGCGTGCCCGGATTGGCCGGATTGGCCGGCTTGCCTGGAGGCCCGCTGTGCCATTTGTCTGTAGGGTTGCTTGTCGCGGTCGGACATGTGCCTCCAGCGGCGGCCGCCCTCCCGCGCCACCTCGGCCGCGGACATGCCCTGCAGCTCGACCTGCAGGTGCCGCAGGAAGTTGAAGAACGGGTTCCTGGTCGCCTTGAAGCCTGGCGGCGCCCTGGGGATCACGGTGCGACGGTTGGCGTTTGCTGCCTATCCTGCAGGATGCTTTCGAACTGTGTTGTCGCTGTCTCTGTCTCAGGCTGGCGCGGCGGCCCATGCGAGAGACAGAGAGCGACGAAGCACTGCTCGTCGGAGTCGACCTGGAAGGCGCACCTCAGTTTCTTGCGCGTCCTCCTTTTGTTTTTGAGCCCCAGCACGCGCCGAATGTATTTGATGCTCCTGCCGACCGCCTTGGTGACGCTCTGCTTCGCCTCCGTCTGCTCCACCACCCCGGCTTCGCCTTCGCCCACGCCTTCGTCCTCGTCGTCCAGAGGTGCCCGGATTACCGTCATTTTGCAGGTTTTTTTGTAATGTTTTGTTGCGGTTTTTTTTTACATTTTCTTGTGCAAGGAATGAGAGTGACTAACACTGCGAGAATTTAGAAACGAGTTGGTTGGCAACCCTGTCGCATTATTGCCTGCCAAGAACTTCGCCTGCGGGGGTCGGCCAGCCGCGCACCAAGTGTTTACTATTTTTGTTTCGTCTGCGGAGGTTAGGTTACGCGCGGGTCTGGCGTCGCGACCTGGCCTGGACCGGGATGGTCGGGACTGGTCGGGAGAGCCGCGGCGGGGTGGGGCGGGGTGGGGCGGGGTGCGGCGGGGTGGGGGTGACCCGTTCGCGGACAATAGGGCGCTCCATATGCCCTGATTGCCACGAGTGTAGACTTCCGCTCGCGAACACATCCACGGCCCGTCGGCCCGGCCTGGCACGTCGTCGGCCTGGCTCGTCGGCCCGGTCCAGCATAGCATGGCGTGGTCGGCGCGGGGCGCGGTCCGCCCATGACAACCGCGGCGTCGTTCGGAGACCCTCCGCGTCCGCGTCGCCGACGGCCTGGTTGTTTCCCGAAGAAAGTCTTCCGGCCCACGCAGGACCGGGCAACCCATCCGCGCGACCCGACGCAGCCGTGGTGGCGCTGGGCGCGTGGAGTCTCTGCAAGGCGTCGCGGCGCCGGGGCGATACCCCACGCCGCGGCGGGCCGGTCGGGTCGGTGCTGCCGGTGCTGCGCTCTGGCGGCCGGCGCGGCAAGCAGTCTGGCAGCGCGGGGCGCGCCGCGCGTTTGAATGGTTTGATTGGCCGCGCCTTCTCGATATTTGCCGCCCGCCCGCGCTGCCGGATTGCGGCAACGACATCGACTTCCACGGCGTGTTTGCTCGGCAGGCGGCCGAAGGGGGCGGCGATGCGGCCATGCGGTGCGACGCACCGTCTGGGACTTTGGGGTTCGACGACGCGCCGCCGCTTTCTCTCTTTCTCCGCAGTATTGTCCCGCTAAGTGATCGCGGAACATCACGCACACATTGTGCGACATTGACGCATGCCGGCGACCTGTCTCGATCCGCGCCGTCCCACTCCGCGCCGCCCCGCCCCGATCCGCCCCGTCACGCCACGCCGCGCTTTTGTGTCGATCCTTCCAATTAATACTGTTCATACACACCCCGAGGATGCACATTCCAGAGCAGCAAGCTGGTCGAAGCTTTCGTCGCCGTGTCTCTCTCGCACTCTTGGGGCGTCCCGCAAGGGCTCGAGCGAGACAGAGCGACGAAGTTCTGCATCAGCCTGCAGTGAGTGCAGTGGAGGCGCCGTTGCAATACCGTAGCGTCACTGGCGTCACACACGGAGGCGGCGCGGCGTTTTGGTTTGGTTTACTACGCTGTAAAGTCCAGCGGGCAGCGCCGCGCGCGCCGCGTTCCTCGCGAGGCCGAGGCCGCGCCCTGCCGCGCCCTGGCCGCCCTCATCCAGCGCGATCCAGCCTCCAGCCGCCGCACGCGCGGCCCCGCCCGGTCCGCCAGCCTCTCCACCGCGCTGCGTGCGGGTTGCGAAACGAATCGCTGCATAAGGATCGCGGAATATCACCGCTTAAAGTGGCAGCACTGCTGTGCGCTGCTGTCGTCAAGATGTCCAGTGGCGGCTTGGCCGCGGCCACCCTGCTGCGCGCGCGCGCCGCCAGGCCTGCCAACCCAGTAAAAAGCATCGCGCAAAAATCATAGTGCTTTGGAAAAAGAAAGGCAAGAAAACGTTTTGGTGAACGCGGTCGGCGTCGACGACGGGGACGCGCGGACTCCGACGTGCACATCTTGGTGTTGCGCGCCGCCCATTGTTGGCGGCTGCGGCCGCGGCCCTCTGTGGTGGCGGGGAATTAGTGCTGGCAGTTGGTGCGAGGGTCCTGGCGCCGTTAAGCAGCAAGCAGCGGCAAGCAGCGGCAAGCAGCCCGAGGTTCGAACGGAACTCTCTCTGGTTGTCGCTCCTCTGCCGCGTTGCGGCTTTGTTTGGCGTGATGGGGCGTGGCGGGGCGTGGCGGGGCGTGGCGGGGCGTGGCGGGGCGTGCTGGAGTCGCACTCGCGGGGTCAGAATGCCAGGAGGCTGTAAAACGGCGCGGTAGACTGCACTGCCGAGCAGCAGCCAGCTGGCTGGTTCCCAAAAGTGCTTTCGTAGCTCTGTCTCTCTCGCACTCATGGCCCCTCCCGTGTAGGTGCGAGAGAGACACGCGCGGAATCGGCCCGCGGCGCACACGATGGAAAAGCCCTCGGCCGGTGCGGAGGTGCTGCGCGCGGCCACCAGCATGCTGCAGCACCGGAAGGACCTTCTGGAAGTCGACTGCGCCTCGCCGTCCTCGCGGCCACCGCGCCGAGTCGCGCGTCGCGGCACCAAGTATTTTTGTCGCATTAGTCACTGGCTGTCAAAGTGATGGGGCCGGGTCCGGGGAGGCGCGGGGCTTTATCCGTAACTAAGAGAGCTGTTCCGACTGACGTCTGACATTTATTTCATCTCCGCAGCCGCCAGCGCTGCCGCAGTGTAGTGCCACACTCGGGTGGGAAAGCTCCCCATGGGTTTACAGCCGCGTGTGTTAGGCCCTGCCCGGCCCGCCACCGCGAGGAGGACCGCGCTGAGCCGCGCTGTGCCGCTGTATACGGGCAGCCCGGCCGATTGCACTGTGATCAACGGGGGTGTTTGGCCAAATTGGCTGTAAAGCGAGGGGCCGGGCCGCCGGGCCACACCATTCGTCGTCCCGGACTCTGTCAACGGGCTGGTGCCGGCACGGCGCGGTCCTCCCTTGGTACCTCGTTGTTGTCCTCGCACCCCAGCCGAGTGCGAGAGAGACAGAGCGACGCCGCTGGCCGGCCTCCACGGCCTCCACGGCCTCCACGGTCTCCACGGCCTCGCAGACCGGCTAATGGCGGCGGGGCCAAAGGGTGGCCGTGATTACGGCTACCTTCGTGATCAATCGAGGCCAATGAAAATTCCTTCCCTTCTCCGCGCGGCGCCGCGCACGCCGCGGTGGATGCGGAGGAGTCCCTCGCGAGGCCGCCGTCGACGGCTGCCGCTTTTCCGACCCGAATCGAGGCCGCAACACTGCCTCGCTGCCTTTTGGCTCACTGCTGACTTGGGCCAATCCCGGCCCGGCTGTCTCGGTGTGCGCGGCGTGCGTGCGGCGCGCGCTCACACGGCGCAGGGCCGGGCCGTGGCCGGGCCGCGCGTGCCCGGACTGCGGACGCGGCGTCCGCCCTCACCCCCGTCGGCCCTTCCCCGCCGTTTGCTGCATTTTGCTCACGGACGCGAAAATTAAACGCGATACAATCAATAACCGAACCGCGGCACCGCAACCGGAACCGAGACGGCCCAGGCCGACGCCGGGCGGGCCCTAATTCAGGGGTTGCCGAAGCGACACGTCGCCGAGAAAGCGGCGCGGGGGGCGGAGCGAGGCTGGAGCGTCCTCTCTCGCACCCCTCCGGGACGCCCGGTCGAGTGGCCGGTGCGAGCGAGACAGAGCGACGATGGCACTGCTCGAAATGAGCGGCACGCACGTGTGCGACGCGCCGAAAACGATTTTTGGGCGCGTTAAATCGAGCGCGTTGTGCGAGCGCGGCCAAAGCGCGGCGCGCTCTGACCTTATGAATAGAACGTAAATTGTAGGACTGGCGCGGCTAATGGTTCTCATTCCACTGCTCCCACTGCAGCGCCTGTTGCGTGGCGCCGATCGGCGTGCCAACCAGCCCGGCGTGGCGCTACCCGCTGTGCTGGCCGAGCCTAGCCGCCACGGTCTTTCGGGGTTAGGTTGGCGAGGCTGCGCGGCGCCGCGCGGGGCGTGGCCCACCGCGTGGCCCACTGTCCCCTGCCTGGACCCTGGCCGCCCCGACTAAGTTGTAACACTTCCGACTAGGCGCGTAATTTAACGACGTCCTCGCTTTTGGGCGGTGCAGAGCAGAGCGCGGTCGTAAACGGCGAGTCCCCTCGGCGCGCGGCGCGCCTCGAAGTGTGGACTGGGCGTTTCGGCGTTTCGGCGTTTCGGCCTGGACGCCGCCGCGTTGCGTTTGCCAACCGCCACGAACCGACCAAAAAAATAAATTAAGGAAGAATAATCAACAGGAAAAGCTCCAGTCGCGGCTTTTCTGCTCCTTCGGCCCAGCTACTGCAAACGGCACACGGCGGCGTGCTCGTCCTGCCGTCGTCGCCGTCGTTACTCCGGTGGCGGTGGGCGGAAAAATATTTGGAGAAAAAACGTCTCGAGTGAACCGCCGTCTGCGCGGCCAGGGGGCTGGGGGGGGGGGAGGCGTAGGCGGTCGGGCCGTCGTCGTCGGCTGGGAAAAGATAACAAAATGCTCGGGGGTCTCGAGGGCGGCCAGGAATTCCGCCCTTCCCCGCGCGCTTTATTGGTTCAGTCACTTAGGAAAATAATAACCGGACGCGGACAGGCCCTTTTCGCCGACGGCTGGCCGACGGCCTGATCAAGTGGCCCCCGTGGCCCCTCCCACCAGAAATTAAAGGAAACGCGGCGGAAAAGGAAAAGAGATGCGACGCGATGAGGGTGCTCGCCGCGCGCTGCTCGCTGTTCGAACACGTTACGGCGGGGTTTCTCTTTCGGCAGCATCGCGTGATTCACCCTTTGTGACACATGGCGGCACTCGGCGGGCGGGCGAAAGCGGCCGGCGCGGCGGTGCGACGGCGACGGCCATGTCAGGAAACACGTCGCATCGGAATCGCCGCGGATTGGGCTGTTTAATTGCCACCGGGATGGCGCGGCCACGCGGCGCGCGCGGAGAAGACCTCCCAAATCGGGTGGCGGCGTCATGGCGGCATGGCGGTGCGCACAACAGCGCTCGCGGCGCCATCCGTCTTCGTCACGCCGAACTGCCGGCCGACGCCGTCCCCGTGGTCGCCGCGGTCCCCGTGGTGGCGAAGCGAGGCACCAATTAGCACGACGCCAACACGGCCCGCGAGGCCCGCGAGGTGTGCGATCCCCGGACTCGTTCCCGTGCGCGTTGTTCTCGCGGCCGCCTCGGCGCCGCACCGCCTGCTTATTATCCCCAATCGTCGAACGCCGCTCGTTTGCAGATGAGGCGGCCGGGCGCGCGCCGCCATGGCGCCGCCTGACGGCCTGGGCCGCTCCTGCCGCGAGTCGTCCGCGCGGGCCGTGAGGTGAGGGCCGTGAGGGCGGTGGGCGGCCGAGTCCGTGAA